GTACCAAAAGTGCATTCGAACCATCGAAGAGCTTATTGTTGCTGTAGAAAATGCGTTCAATGAGTTGCCGACTGACACGATTCCAAAGACTTTCGTAATTGTTCAAAAAGTTATGGAATTGTCCATTGAAATACATGGCAGCAACGAGTAAAAGCTTCCTCATATGAAGAAGGACGCTCTCATTGCAGACTTTGCATCGTATAATGTCGAGTTTGACGCCTCGTCCTACGAGAGCGCTTTGGCTCATTTGAATTGCCGACTAAATGAGGAGGTTCACCTCGATGCCATGGTCAACTCTCTTGAATGAGACATTAGAGTGATTTTGCTAATAAAAATCCTTGTGAGATATTCACTGTGAGCGTCACACAATGAAATTTGTAAGAGAAAATTCATCGTCAGAAATCCTCACAGAGACAATAGAATTCACTGTGAGAAGTCGTGACCATTGGTAAATGGAAGACGACACCGAGGTCGATGTCCAGTCTGCCTACAGACGCAAGACAGCGTTAGGCTTCAAGGGATGCACAGACGTCGAGCTCCTGAAAGAAGTAATCCATGTAAGACCTTTTGAGGCACCTCATGGCGACGTTCGCAAGCGATGGACAGAGGTCACAGAGCATCTTCAACGCATCTACAGGAAGGGAATTACAGCCAACGCAACACGAAAGAGATTCGACGACCTGATGACTGCGTTTCAAGAGGAAACAATGGCAGCGCTATGAGCTTCGGGAACAGAAGTGGAGTACGAGGAGCGTGAGCAACTTCTTCAAGACATACAAGACCTGGTTTGCTCTGCAATACATGTTACGGGAACTCAACAACTATCAATGGTTAGGTAATCAAGAAGCAAGCTTTCAAGGACGACAAGGCAAAGCAGATCGAACGACGAGAGTCCAATGGCGAGAAGATTTGTGAGGCTGCAATGGCAACAATGAAGCGCAAGATGAACGATGATGCAGACGATGCTACGCCAAACAAGAAACAAGGTCGTCAATCACAGCGTCCAACGGACACTTCCACAGTTGTTACGTCGTTGGTAGAGATGGTGGCAAAAGCAAACGAAGTAAAAGCCGGCGAAGTACGCGTCCAACATGAGAACAACCTACTTGCCCAGCAACGATTGGAGTTGAAAGAAAAGCGCTATGAGCTGGACAAGGCTGAGCGTGAAGCACGTTTCACGTTAGAGCGTCCTGAACGTGAGGCACAATTAGAGTTCATATAATGTACTCTTGAGGTACTTAAATCATTTCTCATGAAATTGTAAATTGTTGTATTACGAAGACTTAGAATTCAGATATACTTCTGCACTTGGTGGGGATATCCCGAAGTAGTCGGAAACTTGGTTGCCGCCTTTGATGCAAGTGTGAACATTAGTCAAAATTGCAGCAATAACATATTGCATTCCAACTGCTTGTCCCCAAAGTTTTTGACTGCCATCATGATCCACAAAAGTCCAAAGATTTCGGACTACTACCTCAGTCCCGAAATACTTGCAACAAGCAGAAATATTGATATTCCGAAAAGCTTGCAACAAACGATTGTTATTTATATTGCTATTTTTCAATACAAAAATCAATACAATTTTATTCAAACCAAGTGAACCAAGTCCAAAAGCCCGCCCAATTCAACATCAGGGTCCTCTTCAAGCTCGTCGTTGACAATGAGCTTTTCCAGCTGAGAGCTGAATTCGCACATCTTCATTGCTTCTGAAACTTCAACGGCAAGCTCCTCAAACTTTGCACTAACATCAGACTCGTCCAGCTGTTGGAATCCCAGCTCAACAACATCACGTTCCACTACCAAAACCTCTGGTAGCATTCCACGGGCCAAAAGCTTCGCCTTGCCAATATGTGGGATCTTGTAGGCATTGCTTCCTCGGGCACAAATTGTTTCACGCATGCAACCCTGCAGCGTAAGAAAGTTGTTGTTCAGAGTCTGCATATCAACTTCAGCCCACGCTTGCTCCGTCGCAGCCACAATGTCATCAATGCAGCGGGACGTGTTTCTCTCTTGAAGGGTCTGGATCGCGCGGAAAAAGCCCAGGTCCAAGACGTTCAGGTCTGGAGAATTTGAGGGCTGGAATTTCAGCTGCATGTCCCAGCCATCTCTTTGACACGCTGCGACGATATCAGCGTCGCATTCTGGCACATGCGGGCGGGCGTTGTCTTGTTGAATAACGATGCTTCTTCCACTTCCTTTCGGCCATACGGCCTTGATAGTTGGGATTACCCTCTCAAGAAGCATGGCCTTGTACACCGGTCGAGTCACACTGACAGGAACTGTTTGCATTGTTCCTGCCGGACGATTGCGGCTTTTTCGCTGAGCTGGCACTTGAGCTGTGAAGTGCCATGTGCCAATCTTGCCATCGAACCAAGTTTCATTCACATCATCCCAACGTGGAC